TGGTTGGTCAGCTCTAGTTTGATAGATGGCACTTAATTATTTAGATGCCACCTAAGTTGACTCTGGTTTGTGGTGAGTAAAATGAGAGGCAGTGTTAGTGATTTTATGTATCTGGATGGAACCAAATTGCTTTGTTAGTCATCTGTTTGCAATGGTGTTTATTTCGCTACTGACATATATTTTATTACTTTCCCGCTTTTCGCCTCTTAGTCTTAGTAAATCACCAGCTATTTTGTGAGAAAGAAATCGAAACTGTCACAAATTTTAAGAAAGGAAATTGACAATTTTATTTAAAGTTTTAACAAATATTTCCCACATAACCCCCACCCTCAAAATTCTAGCCGCGTTACGTCCGTAATGGATGCACAACCGTGTAAAGGAAAAGCAGCGCCCTGGGCGAATGCGCCCCCTGATATTGAGGTCCCTTGCGAGTACCACCTTCACATTGCTGTGCATAGATCCAGTGGGCTAGAAAGAAATATTAGACAAGTAGATAGATCTATAAAATTTAAAAAAATTATTTAAATCTAAATATATCCAATTGGGCAACTTTTATAACGTATCTTTGAAGACAGAAGAGTTCTCCTTGTTTTCCCACAATGGCGTCGTAAATGACAAAACTGTAGGCTCCTTTTTTTATATCTTGTTCAATTTTGTTAAATTGTTATTGTACATGAACAGAAAGACGCTATTTTAGGCCTTTAGTTCCATCAGGTAAAGAGGAAGTTTTAATTTTATATCACTAGAAATAATTAATCGCGCTTAAATTTCATTGCCTTACTGATGCCTAAGCCTTGCCTTAGCCTTATAATTATAATAGCCTTATGCCTTATAGGCACTTTGATTAGAAAATTAAAACTTTTTGTAAAAATAAACCAATGGCATAGTTGAATAAAGCTAATTTTTTAAAGAATTATAACGCCAAAATCATATTTTTAGCTCTTGTAGTTTTAAAGTTATGAATTTTAAAGTACGACTTAATTTGTCCTTTTTTAACATGGACCGCATCTCCATTTTCAATGATTTTCTGGTACCCAATTCCGCAGTTGGCGTCACGAGCTATATAACTCTTGTTTTAATCATAATTTTATTTTCAGAACTAATGCTGTATTAAAAAAATAAGTTTAATAATGTTAACAATTAAAGATAAATTGTAGCTTATCTAACTATGACTATGCACTATTTATATTAGTAAATTAAATATAATGTATTAATATATGGCTTTTCTGTTTACCAAGTCTTCAGTCTTCAGCGTCCATTATACTGGTAAATGCTATATAGTCTATATAAGGCAACACACCCCCTAAAATGTTGTTTGGTATCTACTTATTTTGAACTTTCAACTTTGGCACATGACTAATTAACTAAAGCTTTCCCTGACCAATGGTGTTAATAGTTTTTGCACACAGCAAACTCTTATGAATGAAACTTGAGGTAGTCGCTAGTACTATGGCATAGCATTATGACATTATGATTATGCAAATGGCTGTGGTTTCCCATGACTTTTTGCACACGGTCAATTCTGATCGCTAATAATAAGGACTCTACCGGGTTTTTAAAGCTCAAATTTAAAAATGTTTTCAAAATGCATTCTGAAACACAAGTTATAAATTTTTTTGATGTATATAGAGATAATAAAGAATATTTCCTAAGCTAAGTATCTGCGTTTTACGCCATTTAAAAGGGGGCGGGATCACTAATCCAAAATGACCTGTGCAAAATGAGGTCAACGTTGAGGAGAATTGTGAAAATGTTTCATGAGCTATCTCAATGAAATTTTGCACACGTATACTTCAACAAATTATGCAGGCCTACTTTTAATATGAAAGACCTACTTTGAATATTTAGACAGAATTTTTTAATGCGAAGATGCCTTATATTGACATACGATTTTCCTCACTTAAAGTTGAGATAAAGAACAAATTAACTCAATGGGAATATAGTTCAACATTTCTCCTAACGTTAATTCAATAACTACAGCAACAGCAGTTAATGGTATTGACCAGATGAGCTTGTGTAGATTGGTTATGTTAATGTCAGGGTTCCCGCGGCCTCCTGAAATTCCAGGAGCTCCTGGAAATCTCCTGGAATTTGAAAACAAATGATAAAATCCTGGAAAACTCCTTAAATTTTAAAATTTCTCCTAAAATGTCCTGAAATTTTAGTTTCCACAGAGGGAGGGGTAAAAAAAATCTTTTTCGCGATAGTTATTTTATAAATTAATATTACCACTATATTCAATTCGTAGTCTATTTTTAGCCATTCATTTATCAAAACGAGTTTGCCATAATAATTCTAGTGGTTTCCCCTTAACTGCGCATGCGCTTTACGAGTTTCGGATAAGAAATGTCGTACCGTAATGCTTTGATAGACAAGAAGTTTTTTTCGTTCCGTTCAGTTCGCCGTTCAACTAATTTATTTGGTAAGTATAGTGTAAAATACAGTAAATAGATATTTATCTGTAGTTATTTAAATTTTTGGTAACTATTATTAGTATTATGAATAGAAAACTACGCGCCCGATCGCTGTATAATTTGACTAAGCTTAGCCTAATTTTTTTTTATAAGTTGAAGTTTTGTTAGTTTTACCGTAGGTTGTCCAAACTGGAGAAAGCGTAGTTTTAGTTTTGGGGTCATTTTCCGAAGTTTTCAAAAACAAAAATTAACCTACTTATATAGTAGTTTTAAAGGAGTACAATTGATATGAATATGTGAATAAAGTTTAAGTCTTTATCTGACGAATTATCTTACTTTTATGTCTTTAACACGAGTTTGAAAAGTATCAGTTTTGACCATTATATTATACGGCGTTTTCGCGAGTATGGTGTTGCAAACGCTCGCGGCTGTTACAGTTTGCAAAGAAGATGAATTTGATTTTTATTTATAAATATTAACAAAAGGTAGTAAGTAGTAGGCCTTTTTTTATAACAATTATATTGACACATATTTTTTTAAACATAGTTTATAGTGAGTGCTAGGCCTTTTTGTAAGTTAAGTTTAGTTAGGCCTTCTAAATAGGAGAATACTAAATAAAAAAATTAAGTTATGTTATGTTATTTTTGCATGTT